AGGGTTCCTCGAAGGGTTCTATAAGGGTACTATGAGGGTTTAGGGTTTAGGGGCCATGATCATTAGAATAGGGTTTTGGGGCTCTTTGTACATCTTTGTACTATAATTATGACAAGGAGCCCCCCCAAAATAGTATTGGTAATTACTGAGGCCCCTACATGACACTCCCTCCTTGATGTTGTTTCTGCAGGGCTGCTTCAGTAGGCCAGCATGCTCTAAACAGCCGGAGCGGAAGCGTCATACTCATAACCTATCTCTACCCTCAGACCCAACCTAGCCACTTCGGTGACCACCAGAAGCGCAACATGCTCTACAGGCCCTCAACAAGCCTAACCTAAGCCCCACATGCAGGAGGCCAACATGCTCTATGGTCAGCTTGAGCTGAAGACTGTGAAGGAGGAGGATTACAAAGAGAAGAATCCTGCACGAATGTAGGCCGCTGTAGCACTTGACTTCGGTCATCTTCATGTTCCGGAATGGTTCTATGTATCATGTATAGCGTCTCTTAGACTGTGATTGTCTAGCCTGTCTGGTTTTAGGGTGTATAGACCCAAAAATCTCGAGCAACGCACCAAAAAACTTACACCGAAATGCACCAAACCTTAAACCGCAAACCCTAAACCTTTAACCCTAAACCCTAAACCTTAAAACCTAAACCCTAAACCCTAAACCTTAAACCCCAAAGCCTCAAACCCGAAAACCCGAGACCCTGGAATTCCAAAACCTATGTCCTGACCCTCCAAGTGTAGCTGCTGGGATGCGCTTCTTTCGAGCTGTGGAGGCGGAAGGACCGCTGAAGAATTACGGATGTAGGACTCAGGGTTTAGGGTCGTAGTCTGAGGGCTTGGGTGGTTTAGGATCTGTAGAGTGCAAGGGTTTTGGGACACGATGTACGGATCGGATGTACAACACTTGAGGTCAAGTACTTGACGGACCAAGAGGCTTAAAAATGTAAGCTCGGCCCATATTCCCAGGTATAGGTGCCTTTAACCATTGTTTGTCCTGGTTCAAGATGTAGGCCAACATCCCTAAGGGTCTGTGTACCCATATTAATATAGTCATACAGCATATACTTTGGCCCTAAAGGACCTAAATTTAAGTAGGGACTGCATTAAGGCCAAAGTGTAATACATGAAACCTTGAACCATAAACCTTGGCGAACCCTTATAGAAGCCTTAGAGTATCCCGTAAAGGATCCCTTAAAGGAACTCTCAACGAAACCTAAACGCTAAACGCTAAACCCTAAACCCTAAACCTTAAACCTTAACACCCTGAAAGGCATCGTTCCGAAGCTTCAGAGGCCCGTCTTTCGTCTCCGGCATAGCTCTGCGGTCCCTGGCAGCTCCCAGCATGAAATTGAGATGAACAAAAAGCAGCGATGTGATGTCTCAGGCGTTTAGGGCTCTTCGGGTTTGGGCAATCCCTAAATCGTAGTCAGAAAGTTTGAACATGGACCCTAAACCCTAAACCCTAAACCCTAAACCCTAAACCCTAAACCCTCAAGAAAGGATTGCCAAAGTAGAGGGAAACCTCACACGAGTCATCCGGAATCTTGTCGGGCGCCAGTTTAGGGCTTCAGGGTTCGACGTTTAGTTACGTTTTTTGGGAGTTTGCGGCTGGTGGGATAGTCTTCGGTTTCAGAATCCGGAGGTTTTGGGGTTGGATGGTTTTGTGGGTCTCTTGGATCTCTTTCGCATGATCTGTTCTGCTTGCATCGGGCTGTCTTGAGATGTCGTGTTTCTTTTTGTCTAAACGCCTAAACCTCCAAACAGCACCAAAGCCTGGATGAACACGGCCCTGCTTCTTGGGAGCAATCCCTTCCAGATACGAGGGGTCGAAAGAAGGCAAGTCGAATCCCTAAACCCTAAACCCTAAAACCCTAGACCCTAAACCTCCCTTCACAAGGGAGGCTTTTCGATTCCGGAGTCAGCCGAGCTCCTAAACCTTAAACGCGAAACCCCCAACCCTACCCAAAGGGTCCTAGGTACTGTTATGGGGGATACTTTCCCAAATCATAATTACAATTCCTAATATATTAACCCTACATTCTACTATATAGGTACTTTGGACCCTTTGGGCTACTAAACCCTATATAGACCCTAAACCCGAAATCCTAAACCCTTAAACCCTAAACCCCAACCTTAAACCCCTTGAGCCTTAACCACGAAGACCGTCATCCCTCAGCTCCTCTTTCCCCGTCCCCGCCCTCCACCCCTTCCGCCCAAGACTCTAGTTATTATAAGTCTGAGGGTTTGGGGTTCAGGGTCTGAGCAGTCATGCCCGGAAGCCTTATAATATCTAGCAAGAGCTCGCTTTCAAGCCATTCTGGCTCAGCTTCGACATCAGCACCAGCAGCACTCAGTCGACCTCTACGATGCCACACTCACCCACCACCGAGCGATAGAAATCGACATTTTTCGAAAGAAGCAACTTTTACAAAACAGGCAATCAGACACAGCTGTAGATCCAATAACTGACAGCCACATGGCTCAGCTTCGCACCGTACCGCAAGTCACTGTGTCAAAGCCAAGGAACTTTCAAGCGTTGTAAACCAGAACCTTCAGAGAACAGACCCTGAGACTTACACCTCCCCACACTACCGACACAATGCAGGAAACCCTAAACCCTAAACCCTACAAACCCTAAACTCCCGTTTCGGGTGTAGGGTTCAGGTCAAAAACCTCAAGCCCAGACAACCCTAAACCTTGTAACCTTAAACCTTAAACCTTAGATCTCAAACCCTAAACCTTAAACCCTGAACCCTGAACCTTAAACCCTAGACCCTAAGCCTTAGCAGTACTCGCCATCTTGGGGTAAGGGTTTAGGCCCCCTCTGCATGATCCACCATGCTGCGCGAGCCGCCGGGCTTCACGCGAAGTCCTCTTGTGGAGGACTTCTCCGCCTTTCGTGGTGTATGGATGTTATAGGGTTTTGGGGCTTGCAGTCTGCGGGGGGGTTTAGGGTTTAGGATTCAGGGGTTTAGGGTTTAGGGTTTAGGGTTTAGACTTGGGTTTAGGATTCAGGGGTTTGGGGCTTGGGGCTCAGAGTTCCTATTCAATTCGTTTAGATCTGTTCCAAATTCTAGCCTCAAACCTATTCTCCATAAACCTTAAACTTAAACCCTAAACCATCAGACGTACGAATGTCTTCCGCGTTTCACGAAGACCCTATGCAAAAGGATCCACGAGTCCGCTTCTTTGCCGGGGGCCCGGGGCACTTTCAGGCAGCTGGTTCGAGTCGTTGCTGATGGTTTTCTCAATTAGCGAACTCTAAACCCTAGACCGGGATTAGGGCTTCGGGGCTAAAGGCGACGTTTGTGTTCATACTTTGATGGGTTACGACTAGCTGGCATTTGCGGGCTTGGGGCGCTATACATTTCGTGGCTCAAGGTTCTCCGCGCCGTCTTGTTGTAGCGTGTTCAGACTTCAACAGTAGCAGGCTGCTGTTGACGATTCGGCGCCCTAAACCGGAAACCCTTTGCCCTGAAGTCCTTAGCACTAAGCCCCATGGCCCTTGGGGACTTCTCAGTTGCTCGCGTCGTTGTGAACCTTGTGGTCAAGGGTTTCGTTCCTTGGTTTGGGCAGGGGTCTGGGAGTCGGTTTAGGGTTTAGGAACCCTGAAACCATAAACCCCGAATCCTAACACCCTAAAGCCCCAAAGCCTAAAACCCGAAAGTCCCTAAAACCCTAAACCCTAAACCCCCAAACCCTAAGGGTTAAGGGGTTCAGGCTTAGGTTTCCGAGGTGATCACCAGCAATCTGGGTGAGAACGTCGTCAAGTCGGTGGAGCACAATGTCGCATCCCCAGAGAGCAATTTTGCTGTGACCTAGTCTGCATAGTTGGATACGGGTTAAACTACTGTACACAGTTTTTAGGTTTAGGGTTTAGGGAACATAAATCACAAAGCCAATAAGCTGCAACCTTTGATGATCACCGGTGCAATATGCACTATTACTGCTAAATGTATTCCTGATCCCGAGCCGTACGAGCTTTGCCCCTGGCCCCAAACGCTGCAACCTGGCAGCTCTTGATGCTGCCTCGATACCAAGCCCTCAACCCTCAATCCTGAACCCCAAACCCTGAACCCTAAAACCTACACCCTAAACCCTAAATCCTAAGCCCTCAACCCTAAATCCTAAACCCGAAACCCTAAACCCTAAAACCTACCTGAAGCGCGAAAACAGTTTAGCTCGCAAGTCTTGACTCTCCAGCCAGTGTGAGGTTCTAGAGGATTCAGGGGCTTGGGTTTAGCGGGGTTAGGTGTTTAGGGTTTACCCTCAACCCTAAACCCTAAACCCTAATTTAAGGTTTTATAGGGTTTAGGGTTCAGAGCTTCAAGATTCTTCAGACTTCGTAGAGCCTTTTAGAGGTAGAGTTTAGAACCGCAGAGCTGTAGAGTTTTCGGTTTAATTAGGCTTCGCGGGAGGAAGGACGCTTGAAGGGTGGTTTGGTTGATGTTGCCCTTATCCCTAGACGCGATAACCCTAAACCCTAAACCCTAAACTATAGCTTACGGTTCGCGATCTATGTCCGGAGTTGAAAGCCTCAGTCTTGGGCTTCGCGGGTACGGGGTGTGCAAGTTTCATAGGGCTTACAGGCTTTCAATATTGGGTTTAGGGTTTAGGGTTCAATATTATTTCTTCGGTTTAGGGTTTAGGGTTTAATATTCCTTCGTCGGTTTAAGGTTTAGGGCTATTCCCTCGTCAAGATCTCTTTTTTATTACCGGTTGATGCTATCATGCATTGAATATTCCTGCAGTTTCCTGAATCAAGGTTTCGGGAGGCTTTGGATAATCCAGAAGACTGAGTCTATCCGATGAATGCAGCAAGCAACTCTGAGGAGTTGTGCAACTACGTACTCAGGCCCCTATATTCCATGTGGTTTCGGTGTTTTAGGATGCATGTCTGCCCGGCGGAAGTCTTCGTTGTAGGCCCTCTTCCAAAGTGAGGTCCTAAACCCTCTTCCAAAGTGAGGTCCTAAACCGCAAACCCTAAACCGAGGTTTGGGCCACCCAAAGAAAGAATGAAGACGCCCTCACCGATGCTTTTCATCACAGCAAGGCAGGGTTCGGTTTGGGATCCATTTTGTTGCAGGGCTCTCTTAGGCTTGAGGGTTTGGGTTTAGGGGTTCCCCTATCTTTGATATCAGGGCGTTAGGGTTAAGGCGTTGAAGAAAGACCGGGATGTGTGGTTGTTCAGCTACACAGGGGCTGTTTGGCTTGATGTTCTGCGGATCGGGTACCCTAAGGGTCCATGTTTCCATATGGCGTATACTTTGGCCCTTATACAGTATTTATTTAAGGCTAACGTATATACTATATTACTATATTACTATATAAGTACATGGACCTTCAGGGGGTAGAGAGTGTGCAGTGTTTTGGAGGTGATATGGTTTGGGCAGTAGGGTTCCGCCTTCCCGGAGTAGAGCAGAGCGGCCAGTACAAGAAAACCTTGGACCCAGCAGTCGGAGACGGTTTAGGGTTAAGGGCAAAGTTTAGG